CAAGGAATTGATAATATGAATTAATTGAAATGAAATCACTTGCATGATATTCCTTTTACTAGCTCTCATGTGTAATATAACTATCTGCAAGCAGGAACTTTGTACTTTAATAAACAGGTGTTTTGAAAGTAAAGAATCAAGTTGAAGCTTTGTGGTTTCAAATTGCAAAAGCCATTAGCATTTGTAAAATTGTAAGCAAAAATGAAATCAAAATCAATTAGCAGATCGCGTATTGGCCTCAACAAAAAAATCCATTTTTGGTTTGATTTGCATAATAGAAAATACTTGTTAAATAATAGTCCCAGCTTTCTTATACTAGTGATACAGTTTCTTATCAAGTACTATTTCTTTTTTTTGATACTACTAGCATTGTTACCTTTATTTAGAATGCTTACCGCTTTAAAGGCCCAGAGCACCTTTTATTCATCATGCCGTTTTGCAAATAGTCTTTTTAAATACAACTCACTTCCAACTAAAAGCAAAAGCTGCAGTTTTAACAACACCGTAGACTTATCTAAGCCAAATATAACTGTTATACGCAGTTACAATAAACAAGCAGCACCAGTAAATTTGCTATTTGATCGACAGCATAAACTATACCAAAGAAATAGAGCAGCTTCAAATCCCGAGCTTAGTAAACAAGTTGATTACTTAAAAGACGAAATTGCAGCTCGTATAGCTGACAGAATTTTGGTAATTTTAACAATAGTTTGATAATACGATTAAACTTTTAAATTTTTAATAAACTAAATCACATATATTTAAACACATTAGGATATCAAACGCAGATTTGTCACGATTAATGAGGTGGGAGCCGGGTCTGGTGGTTTTGCTAGAGCCCTTGATGACGATATTACAGACAATTTAATCATGTGCGATTGGAGTGGTAAAGCTTGATGTTAATTTATTTTTATTTTTTGTAAAAAATGAGTGCTTTGTTTTTTTTGTAGAGGCCATGTTAAATAGGGATCCTGACGCAAAATACAAAAGTAAATTCAGTTTAATTTAAATAATTAAATACATCTTTACTTTCTAGTTACATTAACTTGGTTTTTTTATTATTATAATAGTAAATGTAACTAAACGGGTTATGGACGAGGAAAGCATAGATTTTAATGAAAATAGTTGTGAGGCTATTGTTAGCAACTTGGCTTTACAATGGGTCAATGATCTACCAGGTGTTTTTACTAAAATACAACAGTCATTGTTACCTGATGGTGTTTTTATTGCTTCTTTATACTCCAGTGATACTCTTTTTGAGCTTCGCGCTTCTTTACAGCTTGCCGAACAAGAAAGGCTAGGTGGAATTTCCCCACATATATCACCATTTGTAGAGCCTAGCGATATGGGTAATTTACTGACTCGAACTGGCTTTAGTATCCCCACAGTTGATGTAGATACTGTAGTTGTGAATTATCCATCTATGTTTCATTTAATGGATGATTTGAGCGCTATGGGAGAAGGGAACTGTGTATTGAAGCGGCCGAATATTATTAAAAAGGATGTTTTATACGCCGCTGACGCAATATACAAAGGTAATCATATCTAATTACGGATTTTTAACTTGAGTTTGTTTTTCAAACGTTTAAAATGTATTCATTAATATTTCGAGTTTTTTTTCTTTTGCCTATATCAACTTTAAAATTATAAAACTTAGAGTTGTATGCTAATCCAGATGGAAGTATCCCTGCAACATTTCAAGTAGTTTATGTAATTGGTTGGAAACCAGATCCATCTCAGCCACAAGCTTTAAAACCAGGCCAAGGAAAAGTTTCAATGAAAACTGTTTTGCAAGATCAAAAAAAATAATATAAATATATTATTTATTTCATCTAAATCTACCATTTTTGAGATATTTTAAAAGGGCTATGGACTCTGAAATAGTGTATCACTTTTTTTTATTATTATTTC